AGGAGATGACATTGAGCCACCCTCACGTCATTTCTTCCATGCTTTTACAATCCTGCGAAGCCTCATTCAAAGGATTCGGTATTAGAGAGTCCCCTCCCTCATTCGCATAGGCATTCGCATAACCCCCAACCTCCCTCGTCTCTCTTGCCCGAACGGATCTCACGCGACCGCTCACCCCTTAGTTTCTTGTATCATTTGTTGTTTTTCTGCATCAGCTAGTTGAATTCTTCATTTTTTTTCTCTCAGTTTTCTCCATATTTCTCAAGAAGGTTGTTGTATCGTTGTTGTTTTATGCTATAATCAGCAGTTTTCTTACTGTTTTTCACCAATCACTGCTAGGTTTGCTTGCAAAAAACTCAAGTATTTCCCTTAGGGTTACTTGCGAACTCAAGTATTTCTTATCAAATTGGTATCGGAGCGTTGTCTTGGGACCATCGGCGGCTGAAATCCTAAAAATTCAAGGGAGAAATTTCATCTAGAAGAAGATATTCTTGGAAATCGTGGGAAGAGTTATGGCCAGGAAGAAGGTTGAAGTTTTGGAAGGAGAAATTGGATAAATAAAATCAGATTTGGAGGAAAAAAATTTTTATTTTCAAAAATAAATTTCTTCCAATAACGAAAAGATGGAGGGGAAGTTCACCATGATGGAAGAGATGTTCAAGAAATTGCTAGAAGTGAAGACCAATCCGGCGACATCAAAAGCAAGGGAACCTATCGGCGACAATGGAAGAGGTGGAAACACTAATATGAAAAGGGAAAATATGGAAGTGGATATTTTAGAGGGTGAAGATGGAATGCCTTCTCTAGAACCACTTTCTAGGGAGGAGATGAGCACTGGTTTCGAAAGAAGGGTTGCTGACTTTGTAGGAAGAAGGGAGGAATTCTATCGCAGAGGTGCTGATTTTGAAAGGAGAATAGGGGAATTTGAAGAAGGGGTTGGGTATGATCGTCGAAGGGAAGATCATGACAATTGGGGAGCACCTCCTCTTTGCGGAATGGGGGGATATTGAGGATTCAGGGGCAACAGGGGTGACCCGAAGATGAGGAAGCTGAAAATGCCTATCTTTGAGGGCGAGGATGACTATGGGTGGATCTACAAGGTGGAGTGATATTTCTCTGTCAATTGGTTGACGGAGGAAGATGTTGACCTTTGTATGAAATTCAGAAAAAAAAAGATGAAACTCCATCATACATACCTGTAGACCGTTGGATCCGCAATATTCTGCCGAAATCTCGCTGCAAACGGCGCCGCTCCAGTCGTTTCTCCACGATTCCTGCTCAAACTCTGCTCGAGAAGGCTCATTCGCGTCGTTAAATACTCACCCGAGCAAAGCCTTCGGTTGCTCTTCCTCCCCGCACACAAATCCCGACCTCCTGCTCTCTCCCGACCAGATCCTACGCAAGGCCCTTCCTCTCTCGACTCCCATAGCTGCTTACACCTCCGTCTGTGCCGACCCTAAGCCAAGAGAGAGAGAGAGAGAGAGAGAGAGAGAGAGAGAGAGAGAGAGAGAGAGAGAGAGAGAGAGAGAGGGGACTTACCAACCGTGCTCCTCCATAGCCGAACCCGCCTCCTCTCCGTTCGATCCCGTCCAGAGAGCTCACCTCTCTGCTCGATTCCAAAGCCTCTACCCGATCTCCTCTTGACTGAACCCTACAGCCAGCTTCTTAGGGAATTAGGTAGTTTATGTATTATATGTTATTATTTTTAATATTACTATTATTTTGTTTTTATTAATAATTATTAATTATGATTAGTAATACTAATTATAATTAATTATTATTATTATCTTTTTATATATTTATAATTAATTATTAATTGTAGATAATTAATTAGTATTAATTAATTATTAATTGTAATTTATTATTAATTAGTTATTATTATCAAGTATAACTACACTCAAATAAAACCCTACTCACTCCAACTCAGCTGACTCACTCAACTCACTTTGACTCAGCCCGACTCAGTCCCAACTCAGTCTACTCACTCCACTTAGCCCACTTAAACCTAAAGCTCACCCCACTCAGCCCAACTCAACCAACTCACTCACCCCTACCCGATAGAGTCTTAGGTATATATTTTATGTTTATTTTATTTATTACTAATTATTGTTAATTATTATTATCATTTTTTTAAGTATAATTAATTTGTAAAATAATCATAATTAGTTTTAAATTAATTATAATTAATTATTGTAATTATAATTAATCTAAAAAATGAAAAAAATATGAAATAATGGTTCTTTTTTCGATGCTAGCAATGAGCCGGCAAACCCCCGAGGCGCTCACGTAGCGTTGTAGGGCGGGAAACCGATGCGATGCTTGCGACGATTTAAGGATTCCTCTTCAATGCTAGTAACGAGCCGGCAAACCCCCGAGGCGCTCACATAGCATTGTAGGACGGGAAACAGGTGCGACGCTTGCGGCGAAGGGGATAAAAAAAATGTATTTTTATTTTGCTTTATTTTTATATAAGTACCCCCGAATGCCCACGTGGTGCAGAGGGGGGGAATTCGTGTTTATTTCTAATGTGTTTTCTTCTTATAATAATAAAAAAACACCCTTAAACGCTCACGTAGCAGGCGGGGATAAAAAAAATACAAAATGCGACCGCGGTGTCATTTTTGACGCCTACCTGAAGCGCTCACGTAGCGTCGAGGGGAAGGTTGTCTCTTGGTTTTTTCCCTAAACGGGGGAGACGTCGGGAGGTTGCCGAAATTTCTATTGAAATTGAGGACTTGGACAAAAAAAATTGGAATTTGATTGAATAATTTAAGTGAACTCAAACTCAATCAATCATAACTTGAATAATTTGGATATGAAATTGCACTTGCAAGAACAATAAGGGACATATGACTTGTACCTACACTTGAACATTTGTACTTGGGCAAAGATTTGTCTTGAACCATAAAGAACTTGAATTAGTTTTTGGACATCATAAGACATATTTTGAACTCAAGTCTAATAAAAAATATATGAGCTTGGATATCAAACTCAAAAATAAGAGGTGGACTACTTGAACTCAAAAGAGCTTGGTGCAGTGAGTTATGACTTGAACTTGTGCTTTGAACTCAAACAAGGACATGAATTGGGAATGAATTCGGTTGAAACATCAAATGAGCTAAATAAGAACTTGACTACAAAACTTGGACATAAGCCTTGAACTTGATTCATACATTATGTGGACTCTATTGAACTTAAACTAAGCAAATGACATAAACTTAATGATAATGACTTGTGGATCTAAATTTGAACCATGGTTAGAGAATCAAACTCTAATTCAATGGATGTATGATCTTTCCAAAGACCACAAGTATCAATCATTAAGTTTAATGATGCAAGCTATCAATGGATTCAACTTTCTCATAATCAAACGAAAGATGCATGTGACCTCTTCATACATGTTGCAAACAATGTGGGGAGACAAGAAAAGTTCACAATTATAACATGCCTACAAGCAATGAACAATCATAAGGATGTGTGATCTAATCACAAATTGAGGCATAAGGACATTCCATTTAGCTCATATGCAAGGCGATTCACATACAATTGATGATGAAACTCAAGCAGTTGAATGACTCAGAATAATTTCTAAAGACATGAATGCACTAATCCTCTTGCAAATAACAACAGTGGTCAACAACAATTTGGAAAGAATTATGGTTGGGTCACAAATAGATCAAGAAGCACCGCGATAGTTGCTTGATCTATCGAGATGTATCTAAGAAGTCATTCATAAAAGCTGTTGTTTATTACTAGTGTTGAAGATCGATGTACAATGCATGTGATCATGAATTACAATCCACATCAAGATACAAGCAAATGCATCTAACCCTACAAATGATGAAACTGAGGAGCTCCTACGAGTTATTGTAGGAGACCCCTATACATCCAATTTAGTCTCCATAAAAAAGATCTGCAACACATACGATCTCTCTACAAAGACAATTGTATGTGCCACATGCCACTGATCGGTAGATGCATAAAGACTTCAGTAAATGCAGTATCCTGAAGTCAATTTCAGTCTGTGAAGGAATACATCTACCTGCCTACTTGTAGCAATGACAGATATACTACACGAGCTAAATACCACAATAAAGTGTATAAAGAATATGACAGATACAAGCTCCCACAAGCTTCTGCCCCGCTGCAAATATTACATACAATCTACGAACAAATGCCAAAGAACTACAATGAAAATAAACATCAAACAACAAAAGTAGGAGATTCGTTAGTGCACTACGATCCACCTGCAGAAAGCAACGAGCCGTGCACGACAGTCTACCTGTACGAAGCAGCGAATAACTCTACTCAGAAGCTGCTACGCCACGCCACCTGATCCGCAACGTCCTTACAAGCTGATAGAAGGCGTCTACAAATACTTTCAAAATACCTCTGCACGTGCACTATAAATTGTATACACAATGGAATTCTTCTTTTTTTCTCTCAGTTTTCTCCATATTTCTCAAGAAGGTTGTTGTACCGTTGCTGTTTTTTGCTGTAATCAGCAGTTTTCTTGCTGTTTTGCACCAATCACTGCTAGGTTTGCTTGCGAACTCAAGTATTTCTCTTAGGGTTACTTGCAAACTCAAGTATTTCCTATCAAATTGGTATCATAGCATTGTCTTGGGACCATCGGAGGTTGAAATCCTGAAAATTCAGGGGAGAAATTTCATCCGGAAGAAGATATTCTATGAAATCTTGGGAAGAGTTATGGCCGAGAAGAGGTTGAAATTTTAAAAGGAGAAATTGGTTGACAAATATCCTCAAGATAGGAATTGGCAAAAAAAACGTCTAGCCATGAAGTTCAGGTTATGCCAAAAAATCCAAAATAATGGATCATAGCATCTTGATAAGGTCATAGAAAATTTTAATTTTGAATTCATTTTTATAGATGCACATGCACGTTTTTCTTACAAACTTCTATCTTTCCTCATTGGATCTTTATACGGTAACCCCTGATTTACCTAAAAATCATGTTTGCAACTTTTTTTTTTGACCAGATCTTTCGTCGACCAGCGTGAGAGACTTTCTTATACCAGCCATACACAACTTACTGAAGGACCATGATAACCTCGACCCAGCACACAAGGAAGCACTCGAGATCATAATGAAGGAAAGGTCAGGCGGAGCATTTGAAAGCATCAGCAAGGTTATGGGCGCTCATCTTGGAATTGCTTCTTCCATGACTAGTTTCTTTGGAGAAACCGCTCTCCGGGTGAAGAAAGAATCAACAGACATAAATGATCCTTCTTCCCCTCGTCAGGCAAGCTCACAGTCCCAGCAAGATGACACAAGGTTCCGACGAATTATGAGGGGTGGCTTCGGTGAGATGCTGAGAGGCAAACCCAGAGGCACTGATGATTCTCCAAATTAGCTGGTGATGGATTTACTCAAGATATCTGATATCTTTTCCGGTCAAAATCTTCCCTATTTCATAGTTCATATAATAATGATTTCCATATTTTTACCATATATTTGTATCAAGCTTTAATGGTTTAATTTGCATTTTTTATTCAAATATAATCAATGGTTTATTTGTGTATCACAGTTTTGAGTTAACAGTTGAGTAGAATATCATACAGAGAAACTGAGTTCCTTGTAAGAGTGTACTTCAACATAGGTGGACAATAAGCATGCTCTGGTAAGCATGTTATGGAACATTGTTATACTTGTATTGTTATTTGTTTGTCTTTTATGCTCAAGTTCTATAGCAATTTTGTGCTCTAGATGTATTTTCTTTCTTTGAGTTTTCATGAAAAGCTGCTTTAAAAGTAGGCTGAAATTAGGCTTCGTTTGGGACGGCTTTTTCCTAAAAATAATTTTTTAGTTAAAAAATTACTTTAAGCAGCAGTAAGAAAGCTGTCCCAAATAATGCCTAAGGTTTTATTTGGTACAGCTTTCTTTCTACTTTTTATAGCAGCATTTTAGTTAAAAAATTTTTAGTTTAAAAAATTTTGATACTAAAATCGTTTTAAATAATTTGATTTTCTTAAAGTTGCAGTTTAGTAAATTGTGCTAGCAATTTCTGTTATGTATTTAATAATATATTATGCTTATATATTTTTAGTTGAGAATTAGTTATAGATGTTATGATAGTTATTAAAATTATATCAAGTTTCATTTTTTTTTAAAGAATTAGAACAATCGTTAACTTTTTTGGCATTAGAAAAATAGTTTGATTATGAAAGAAGATTTAATTTGATGGAAAAACGATTTATTATGAAAGAAGGATTATTAGGAAATAATTTTTGTAATAAAGTAATTCATTGAAAAATAGCGGGTATAGAATGGATTTATATTTAAATTTTAATAAATTGGAGAAACTATAAGATAAAGAGTACTACTTGTAGGATTAAAAAAAATCTAAAATATTCAAAAGAATTTAAAAGCTAATAAATCTATAGTACAAACTTTAAATCTTAGCCTGTATTTCACTAAATGACTTTCAGGCATCTCGTAATTTAATGCATGTAAAGAGGGAAATATGTAATTAATAATATAAAAATAGATAAATTTCTAATCATGGCTAATTGCTTACCTTTCAGTTTATTCTTTTGCTTAGATTACCTCAATTAAGATTTCGTTTGGGAAAGCATTTTAATTTGTTTTTTAAGTATTTTTTTAGCACAAAAATTTTACTTTAAAAATGTTTATGCTAAATGTTGCTTTAAAAAATAACAAGAAATCTATATCAAACAAAGCCTAAATATTCTTTAGATGATGGGTTCATTGGCTAATCATTTAAATAATAATAATTTTTACTTTCCTACCATCGAGGGTAATGCGACTCACATTGGTCTATTGGTTGGAAGTTTTGACTATCAACTAAGATGTCTTGAGTTCGAGTGTTATGTATGTGATGTTATATTTGTGCCTTATCTTATAAGTTAAATTATATTTCATCTGTTGTGGATTCGAGCTTGAGTCAGTATAAACATCCCACAAATTTTCCCAACTACGATTGACATATTTTGAAGATTTTGACCACCTATTGGACACCAAAGCTAAGGTGAAATCTAGATTACAAATTAAAGTCATGGCATGGAATTAAGCTACTTTCAATGCTTGCCTTAGAACATTTATGAGACCTTGAAACTCTACATATCCTCTTTTAAATTCATAAAATATTAATTCCATCATATACCTATCCTATGGTAAAACTTTTTACTTTGATTTTTCTTCTCTAATTGTGCTTTTCACCTTCAACTTAAGGACTACTTGAAACTATAGTGGCTAGTGATTTTATCCATTGAAGGATTTTTAAAGAAGCGATTCAATGCAAAGTTAAGGATTACTCATAGATGAAAATCTTCATTATTGTAAGCAAATATTTTTTGGTATGTAGGTTCTCATAACATCTACTTTCAGTATCTTTTATTAATTTTTATTGTTATTTTATAAACTTCCTTAATCTCATTTTAAAGCTCATCTTATATTATCAATAATTGAAAAAAGGCATGGACTATCTTTTAGTATCTTTTATTTTATTTATTGATCTAATAAGATAGAGAGAATATAGTATTTAATACTAGAAAATGTTATATAAGTATCTAATGACATACAATAGCTAATCAAGTCTATTTAAACTTAGGAGCCAGCTAAGTGGGTCAATTTTAAGAATGTCTAATTGGGTCAATGCAATGCAATCTTATATTCCAATTATGCTAACTCTATGGCAATATATGGGCCACTGATCCACCATGCCACGGGTCATTAAAAAAGTTAGTTGGATCCTATAATAAGCGCAAGTCATTATTTGCATATTATAAAAGATTGATCTATCGTTCTTAGAGGCAAACCATGTATGATAATAGTTACGTTCATATGACTAAATTTAATGGGGCTCACTTAGGCTTAAATCTATAGAGTCATAATCAAGGGGTTGGCCTATGCTCACCTAAGGTTGTGTCAAGCTAAGTTATATTAATATGGTTAAATCTATTGGGGCCTTAGTCCACTGAGACTATAATTTCACTTAATGGGGCCTACGAAGGCTTAAATTCACTAGGGGGTGAGGAGAAATGAATCAAGCCAAGTTAATTAAGATCTAGCTAATCTAATTTTAAAATAAGGTCAATTAAAGAATATTACACAATAGGTGTGGTGAACTTATAAAAGAACATACACGTGGTAGTCATACCATTAAAGATTCAACATATTAATATATATGCGAGAGTTTATGAAGATGTAATGTATTAGTATACAATGAGATGATCTAAATTGATTAATCAAATAGAAAAGGTCAAAATAAAAGTAAGTAGGGCTGATAAAGCCTAAATCCTTTATGGGTAACTTAAGAAAAGTTATTAATACCATGGTCAAGTTTAGTCAAAGCAAAGAATGACTAATTTATGAATACTGATGGAGCTTTACTCTACCAAGATCATTAGTCAAGAGTATAGAAGATATCCAAAACTAAGCCAGGATAGGCCTAAAGAGACCAAACTAGGATTCACTTAGACTATAAGGTCATGGATGATTTATGAAAGCCTAGGATTTACTAAGGCTAAATCTAAAAGGAATCTAAAATTGACATGGATTAAGTTTAAAATATCAAGATTTACCTAAAATGGGTCTAAATATGAACTTAAGATATTATTAAGCTACATCTAAGAGAATCTAAGATTTATTTGAGATGGATTTAAAGGTTTCTTAGATTTTATTATTTACTCATAATAGATTTAAAGGTGCTTATGATTTACTTAAGCTATATTTAAAGACTTATAGTATTTTATTAGAATATATCTAAATAGCTTCTAGAGTCTATCCCGAATAATTTTTAAGAAGATAATCATACATGGGATATTATTTATTGTGCTCATATGGTTAAATAAATTAGCATAAAATAGGTTTACTCAATCAAAGTTCACTTTGATGGTACTTTGGATTTTCATAAAGCATGAGTAGTTGTTCTTGATAATTAATAAGAATAGGCAGTTGACTATGTAGAATATTTTGCTTTGTGGATAAAATAATTACCATATGAATGATTATATCTTCTATTACTTCATAAAGATGACATTCTATCAAATGGATATTAAAAATATAATTCTTTGTAGTGTTCTCAAGAAGGGGAGCTATATGATTCTCCCACATAATTTTTTGTATTCCTCTTTGGATGTATGCAAATTAAAATACTTTGTAGATTGAAATAAGCTCCATGAGCATGGTTTAATGAATTATGATAAACTTTACTTCTTCCTCCTTTAAGCATAGCCAATATAACTCATATTTAATTCTTTGTAAGACATAGAGTAATATTATTCTCATTTGATTTATGTTGACAATATTGCTATAAATATGACAAATGTAGCACTGGTTACTCATTTAATAACATCTTTAAGTCATATTTCATATGAAGAATCTTAATGCTCTTACAAGTTTGTTTTAAGAATTTAAAATAAACTATTATTTTTTAAATCAATATAAATATACACAATATTCGATTATATTGATAGTGATTCAAAATACACCACCTGTATCTACTCATTTAGAAGTAAACCCAAAAAATAAAAAATAAATAAATAAGGAGGGTTCTTCTGCCAAATCCCATTATGTTTTGGCAAGTTGTAGGTAGCTTGAAAACTATTTGAAAATTTACTTAACTTGACATTTCATTTGTCGTTCAACAAGATAATCAATTTATGAAAATTACAACTACTTGATAGCTTTAACTATTTAACATTTCTTTTCATTTTCATATCATTCAACACCTTATTAGAACACTAATTAAAAATAATTCTTTTAATTTGATTCTTCATTTCCTTATATGATCGATAAATTAAATATGTACCATTTTGTATGTTTTATTTTTAGTTAAAATATATCATTTTAGTTATTTTTGTGCATAAAAAACTAAAAAATGATAGAAATTCCAAGGAGACTATAGTGTCGCAACGTTCGATGAAACAACACCGCAGGGCCACCTTCAATACCGTCGAGGTGCCACATATTGGACATTGCGGTGTCATGTTTTTTATTTGCAAGCACTGTGGTGGCAACTCAACCATCATCGCAGCATTACCAGCACCGCGACTTTAAAAAGTCAGCTTGCAACACTTAAATATGTATTTTCAAATATTGTGGCGCCATATTTTCTCATGTCTTAGCTCCATTCTTTTCTATGCACCACAGTGCTCGAATGTTAACAACACCACTACATTGTAGTTATAACTTCCAAGGGCCACATTGTCTCAATAAAGAGATGTTATTATTCATTGAGTAATTGATCAACATTAGCAAGCATCATGGTAGTGCAATAGTTTCAATGCCAAGGTAACAATTCACTTCAATGACGCCATGGTGCCACTCTTTCAAGCATCACAGCACCATATACCTTTTTCAGTTGTTCTATAAATAGTTGTGATGTTATGTTTATGTTTTACAAGAGAGTTTAGGCACTTGAGTAAAATTTAGTACTTCTTTTTAGAGTACTTCTCTAGTTCCCTTTTAAAGTAAAATTTAAGGAAGGCTATGAAAGTACAAGATACAATCATTTATCATATTTAGCATGTATTTCTTAAAGCATCTCTATAAGTTAAGAGAGAAGGAGTGTAGATCAGATACTTTGATCCTTTCTGGTGATACCACTCTGTTATTTTTTCATTCTTACATTATTTTAATAAAAATGAGTTTGCTTGTCATATATTTTATATCTGATTAATTCTCTTATTTTGAATTGATGATGTAAAGTACATGTTAAGTACAAATGAAGTTTCTTGTTTTA